ATACACCGAAAATACGGTACTTCGTAGAAAACGTTAATTTCAAAATACTCAATTGTAATTCTCTTTATGTGCTTAACAGTTAGTCATGTTAACTAGTTGGTTGTTACACATTGAACTGTTTGTTGTGCCTGTCACGAGAATTGAACCTGAAGTTTTTCAGTTACAAGTTCTCAAGCTTACCAGATGTGTGTGGGGGTGGGGTGGTCGTTTTATTTGTTTCGGTTTTTACACTTATAACAAGCACACTAATAAAGTGAGTTACGATGAGTTACGACAATAACCGAACAAGTATACTATGTCTCGCTACGTTAACTTATAGACAATATATCTTACGATGAGTTACGACAATAACCGAACAAGTATAACATGTCTCGCTACGTTAACGATTTAGATCTTACGATGAGTTACGACAATAACCGAACAAGTATAACATGTCTCGCTACGTTAACGATTTAGATCGACTTGCGAAGATCGCGATTCACTCTTCCTGTCATTACAAGAGAACTATAAAGAAATCAGACTATGCCTTTATGTGTACGAGATGAAAGGATGAGCATACTGGGAGGGGAGGAGGTCCCCACACGTTCGACTTTTAGCGTCCGAAGGAGAAACTCTGGATGGGACTTTCACTAACGGAAGCACTGAAATAAAAACACACACGCCAAAACGTAGTAGTTCTGATGTTAAAACACATATATACACACATCTTTACCTCTATAGTTACAAGCTTTCTCTTGAGTTTATGCATAATACCAGTTGACATCCCATTAAAATTACGAGTAATAATATTTCACAGTGACACTAGATGGTGCTGAGCTTAAAGTTGTGATAGCTGAATGCAAGTTAAAGTGTCAACATGTAAACAAGTTGATCCAACTCTTTTGTCAAAAAAAAATTAATCTAAGAGTTAAAAATATCTTAATGTTAAAAAATGTAAGATTAGGCTTATCATTCTTAGGGCTTTACAGTTTGAGGTTCAGTATTTCACTATGGAAAACAACTCAAGAACAAGTCAGTACATATTAATAGAGATTTGTATACTGCTATTAAAAAAATAAAAAATTCTCATTTGCTTGAAAAGGTACAGAACACTGTTAGTAGAATAAATTATGGTTTAAGAGATAAAACACCAGGTTGAGATTTGATAAAATGTAGATTTTGTGAATAGCTTATGGAATGTGTTGCCATTAGCAGTAGTGGAGAGTGGCACTTTACAGAAGTTGAAGAGAGGAATTGGCAATTTCCTGAAACATGAAGAATGGAATTAATTGTTCATTTTCTTGAGAGAGAAAGTGTTCAGGGACAACCTTCAAAAATACAAATTGTCCCTTGTTGTCCTATATATATATTATTCTGTTTTTAAAGTAGAGAAGGTGTTTATTTCAGGTCCTCAGGATGTTTTATAGATCAGAATAATTCCTATTCGTAACCTCTTTTAATTTATGTCAAAATATAAGGTAAAAATAATAGCTTGAATATTTTACACCGTAGTAAAATAAAAATAACGAGAGCTTAAGATTAAGCTTATTCTTCAACATCATTTTCTTTCCGTTTATGAGATAAGCTTGTTGAATGGTTGTAACAGAGAAGTTGCTGCGTGTTTATAAACAGAAATAGTTACGTTAAATTGGTGCAACTTTGAGTGGTTGATGAGTCGCCTCTGTAGGTCAACCAGCTTTCTGTCTTTATTTTGTTTTGTTCTAATTTTCTGTATTCACAAAATTTTAAGTTCAAACATTTAAAATCTTACTATTTTATGCTTATTATATGTTTGTAATCATTGTCAAATATGATCTGAATGTCAATGACAAGTACCAATCTATAAATCACAAAGACGAAAATCCATCTGTAAAAAGAAAAAACCAACATTTCTTTGAAGAAAAAAACAATTTAAATGATCAACCAGTAAACAAATGCCTCTTACTTGCTAATTTCCTAACAAAACAGTTTATACCAGTAAAAATGATTCCTGCTCTTAGAAGTAGACAGTGTTTGAATTTAGAAATGAACAAAGTAGCTTTAGAATGGACAACTTCAATCAAATGTATAACATGGAACGAACTTCAAAAATCAACATTTATTTCTGATCTAAATACCCGTGAAAAGTGAATTTATCCATCTACTATATGCAAATTAATCTTTCTACCTCAATGTACAATATAATTTAACTTCGGTTTAGCGATGTCTGAAATACCTAGAAAACATCTACTGTCATTGGAGGTAAAGCCGAAAAAAAAAAAGACTCCAATTGAAGCCACTCTAAGGAAATAAAAAAAAAACTGTTTTCAATACAAAATGTACTTGAATACAAACCATAAATAATTTTTTCAATAATTAAGCAGTTATACAAAAACTATTACAGTAGATTTGTTTCTCGAATACACGTGTAATTAGAAATGTCCTCATACTTTCACACAACTAATTTTGATCCAAGGCATACCATTTATCCAAGTGCTTTCCGTTTGTCAGGTATGATGGGAATAGCTATTTCACAACTCTTTTTGTCACCAATGTATATTGGTCACTAGCATACAAGTTATGATTCAGCAGCTTCGTAAACTTGGGGGTTGCAATCGCACTCCGGGAGGTGTCTTACAAGTGTAAATTTTCACGTAACTTTGTTTTCAAACATGAAGCAGTGCTGATACATTTGTAAATCCTTGACCCAACATGCTCGAACTATTATACAGTAAGAAAGATATACTGGTTTTACGATCCTAAACATGAAAATAGTACTTACCATTCAGGGACATCAGTTGAGCAGGCAAAGAATGGGCAGCAAACACTCTGTTGAAAGATGTATCATCGGGGGTATTAGTCTCCGAGTCAGGTGAGCCAGGCCCTCCTAAAATAGCACCAGGCCCTGAGGGTATGCCTAGAGGCTGGCTAGAAGTCCTATTTACGTGCAACACACTCGTAAGACTCCGAGTCCGTTGTCGAGCATCCGCTGCACTGGTACCGGTCCTCTGGCCATGTCCTAATATTCCAAAATTACTTGTACTGGTTGTAGATGGAGAGCCATTGGCTTCATTAGCTGAACTGTTACGGACACTAGTACTAAGCTTTGTTCCCATTGCCCTCTAACTTATCAACAACAAAAAAATATCCTGAAAAAATAATTTAAATACAGTTATTGGTTGAAAAACAATACATAAAGATTACACAACTAAGAACACAGTTACTGGTCACTGTGAGTTTTCACATGTATCTTAGAATACACATGCGTTCATATGTTACCCAACAATATCACTATCAGCTACACAGTTAAAGTCGAGTACGATCTATCAGAAACTACTGCTGGAAAATCAGTTCCAAGCAAGATCCTACATTCGTATCTATCCTTCAGATTATTAACAAAAAAAAAAAAAAGATACACCTACAATAAGAACAGAATTTTACTTACACAAAGATTTGTAACAAACTTAAGTTTTTTTTTTTTTCACATTTCAGATTGACATATGAATTACTACTGATTCACGATGTAATGCTCTTTTCTTTACACCAAATGTGAAAAAAAATTACAGAACAACACTAAACTTATATGGAAAAATGTTTCAACACTTTCATGTGTCTTCTTTGGTCCAATATTTGTTTGAAAAGGTCACATTAAGGTGTCAAAACTTGTAGCTTCATAAGTTTAATGGTGTTTCATAATAATGTTTCTAAACTTTATTTAAATTACTTTACGTAGAACTGTGTATAACCTACTATTCAGAATGGAAGAGATAGATTAAGATCTCTTAACTTCTGATGAAAAAAAAGAGTAAGCGGTGATCTTATCGAAGTTGACAGGATTATCCAGGGAATCAATAGGATAAAGGCCATTGGATTTTTTGTATGTGTTTTAAAGATAACAGTATGACAGGATACAACTTTAAGGTTTGGAAAAGACAGGCTTGGTTCTAATTAAGACAAATATATTTTTCTAAGAAGGTGATTAGATTATAGAATTAATTACCATCGGCGTTATTGAAAGTCAACATCTTATTGGAGTTTACGAGGGGAACAGATGATTTCCCCAAAAACTGAAGGGTGGGTTTAAATGTTTATTTCTGTCGGAGGAAGCTAGGACAGCTTCGAAGGACCAAATAAAACCTTGTTTTGTGTAACTTAATTTGGACATTAGTGGATCTAGGCTTTATATTAGATAACCCTTCCATCCTTAGTGGATCTAGGCTTTATATTAGATAACCCTTCCATTCTTAGTGGATCTAGGTTTTATATTAGATAACCCTTACATCCTTAGTGGATCTAGGCTTTATATTAGATAACCCTTCCAACCTTAGTGGATCTAGGCTTTATATTAGATAACCCTTCCATCCTTAGTGGATCTAGGCTTTATATTAGATAACCCTTCCATCCTTAGTGGATCTAGGCTTTATATTAGATAACCCTTCCATCCATGGAATCTAGGCTTTATATTAGATAACCCTTCCATCCATGGAATC